TCAAGCCCCAAGACTGGAGCATGTATGTTTGTGCGTGCACACACACACAACAGTCAAATCATTTACATGACATATTTTTTAGTGTTTTTGGCAGAGTAAATGGGTCCTACCTGAATTGTGCCTTTCTGCAATATCGTAAAATGTATTTCATTTGACATTTTCATGCATGACAAAATTTTGTTGGCAATTCAACAAAATGACTGTGTACTCAACAGAATTATTATCATTTCCCCTTTTAAAAAACTATCTGGAACTGTGTATACTACTTAGGGTAGAGTTACAATATAGATTAGGTGAATTTATCACACTGATAAGTCTAATCAGAAAGCCACAAATTATGAGAAAGAAAAGATAAACATTCCATCTTAGGAGAGAAACACAGAAAGGACCCTGAGCTTTACTCATTAGAACCATCAAGATTCTACTACATTCCAAGGGATGGAATAACCAATGTTCTTGTATCCATGACTGAAAAAAAATAAAGTTTCATTCCTTACTAAAGAGACATGATGGGTTTGAGAAAGATGAAGTTACGGTTTTATCACTTGCTACTAATACAAAGGAATTAGGGGATGTGTAGCTATGTATACATATAGGTATGTTTCTGTAAACAAGAGAAGCTGTAATAAAAGAATTTAGTCAACCAAGCAAACAAGTGAAATTAATCAATTTGATTCCAGAAAAAACAAGCCTGGCTTAATATTGAAAAAAAAATAACCAGGATGCGGGAAATAAAAACATTTGATTTCTCTCACCCCTAAACACACTGTTCAGCTCAGTGATTCTTTGGTATCAGGTAGTTAAATCATACATTGATACCCACCACCTCTTACTCAAAACACTCCGTTAAGTATCTTCCCACACTGCCTTTTAAGAGGACTAATACTATCATTTTCATCTGATTTAGATATTTACTTCATATTTGCCAGAAGATTCTGGCCAATGTTTTTGAAAGCACATTTAACTATACCATATGCCACCTTAAATCATCTCTATCAAACAAGCTGTAGGATAAGACTCCGGTTCGTTCTGTTCTGTTTCTCTTTCTTCACAATGTGTTTGTGTATATTTACCCAATTTGTTCTGTTCTTCTTGCCAAATTACAGGTTTGAGATCTCAACTATTGCAGAGCAGCTGTGCTATTGTTGATGTCTTACAAAATAAGGGTCAGAGAATAAACACATGCTATAAGTTTGTGAGATACCTGAACATTAAATTATGACGCTATTACTTTCAGATGGGGACAAATGGAAGGTAATTTTTCTTCAAACTTGAAAAAGGCATTTTGGTACCAACGAACTACAGCAAGAAATCCACTCCTAAATAATGTACAGCTTATGGTTGGTTATGCAGTTTGCTTCATCATCTGGTGTTTTCAAAGTAAAATGAGCCAGTAAAAGACAGATAAAAAACAGCCTCACCGCTACCCTGTATACCTTCTTTCTGTTTAAATGCCTAAAAATCCACATCAAATAAGCATATATATAATAAACAGATCTTTCTCAAAACGAGTTCCTCAAAGTAGTCTCTTAGTAGTGCTGGACAATCATATTTCTGAATAAGATCTGCTTGGGATCTTTTTAATTTTTGTTTATTCCATAATATCCATTTCTGAATGCTGAACAATATCTTATGGCACTGAGACATTCTTAGTTCCCTGTGTCCCCTGTGTTATTATCTTCATGTTAACTCTCTTTTAAATAGAAATCCACAAGCTCAATGTTTTTTTTTCCCAAAAAATAACCTTTTTATTAAAAGTGCAAATTTGGGTATAACACAAAGACAAGAGAAGACTTGCTAGAGCAGGCAAATGAAAAGAGGCACATGTCCATGGACCCAGCTCTGAGACCATGCATCTGGCTTTGAGGCTGCCCGCGTAGGGCTACTTCACCAGTGTGTTGTTAATTATTTAAGTGAGAGAACAGGGGGGCCCATCACCACATCTGTCACCCTCACACAGGAAAGACCTCTATTCATTGCTAGGCCAGATGTGTTTATTTGAAACATAGACTAACTAGCTATTTAATGGGTTTGAATCCTTAGCCAAAAGCTAATTAGGCAAACATATTAAGCATCAGTCACCTTACAAGGCTAAACTGTTTCAGTTGTGTTGGTTTTCATCCAATCTCATAAGCGCTCATCACCTACAAATGTATCTGAAGAAAATTCAAGGCAAAGAAAAAGGCCAAATTACCTGCAACATTCTAAGTAGAAAAAAATAATGATGTCCCCAAATACCAAATATGTTAATACATAAATTCTAAAGCTTTGTCTCAGTGGTAGCCCGTGCATGATACAATTTGAAAAGCAAAGTAAGACAAAATAATTCTTTTAGATACCTCTCCAACCCAAACATTCTAAAGCAGTGATTCCTCATAGCCAGAATTAATTGTAGTTATCTTATCTTTTGGCTGGAGGCACACTTAAGTAGTAGAGTATTAACTGAGCATGCATGAGGCCCTGAGTTCAAGCCCTAGTAGCTTTTCCTCCAAAAATAATTATCTCTCAAGTATTTAATCTATCAACAAATCATTAACGAATTTAAGTGGCCCTTATAGTACTCTATTGAAAAGCAGGGCTATATTCAAAGAGAAAACAAATTCAATGTCTGGGACAGGGTAGACATATTGCATTCTATAATTGCATTTTGCACTCTATATTCATATTGCATTCTTACTTTAGAGAAAAATGTATGCTGCTTTCTTTAACATCATATAAATAAAAAGTCATGTCATTCTCTGTTCTTTTTTTTTATTGTGAAAATACTGTATAGAGGGGTTACAATTACATGGGCAAGATAATGAGTACATTTCTTATCAAGCATTATTGCCTCCTCCTTTGTTTCCCTGTCCCATCCCTTCCCATCCTCCCCCTCCACCCACGCGCCCCTACCCCCCCATCTCACCCCCCCCCCACTCCGGCCAAAGTTGTAAAGTTCGTTTTTCAACATAATGACTTGTACATCTCATTGTTGCAATGGGTCCACCTGTTATGTCCCCCAACCCCAAAATAAGTTGCTAACTATTTTTCTCATGGCTGTTATAGGCCCCTCATGACAATCAATCAACCCTTCTTCAGTTCTTTACAATGCTAAACTGATATATTTGAGGAGAATTCATTCGGTTTTTCATCCAACAAATGCCTAGTGAATCTGCTTGTCAGGTACATACTAAGGGGAACATAACATGAAATTTATCCTAACCAAAAGAAGCCATACGATAACAAAACTAAATAAATGATTTGGGAGAAAAATGAAGACATCTAAAGGGAGCAGGGTCAAGGGAAAGAGAAGATTTTTTGATCAAATAAGGATACCAGAAAGATCTTTCAGAGAAGGTGTAACAGGAGGTAAGATCTGAAAGGGAGGAAGTCCTTGACACTTGTATTTTATAGAACACTGCAAATATCAGCATTTTACTCTAAGTGGATGAGGAACTTATTATAACTTTAAGTGGAGCATAACATGAACCGAACCTATCTATGTTAACAAGCTCATCTCTGCTGGAATAAGAACAAAGGCAAGCCAAAAAACTAATTATCACAATAAGAGATGATAGTAACTTGGTCTAAGATAGGAAAGTGGTGGTAGTGCAGTAGTAAGCTGAGAATGAATTCTAGATATACTTTGAGATTAAAGCTGAAAGGGTAGATTGATGGAGTTTGTACCCAATAGAGAGGAATCAATGAATCAAGGAATCAAGAAATCAATGAATCTGAATGATAAAAAGAATGTAGTTGCCAATGATTAAAATAGAAAAAGCATGTTAGGAGGAAGCTCACAGAGTGAGAGGGATAAGAACTCTCAACATAACATTACAAATTCAATAAAAGGAAACTAAATGCCAATAGATTTGTCATGGCTAATTCAAGGAAGCCATTGAATCCACTTTTGTCCCCTGCATAGGTAACCTGCCTCAAAAGTCCAGTACCAATCTAATTTAGCCATAGACATGTTATCATTGTCACAAGATTATTATTATTATTATTATTATTATATAACACTGAAAATGAATAACAACATTTGTAATTTATATAATGCAGATCTTTGGATTTATTGGAATAGAAGGCTAATACTACCCAATTTGTTTGTCTAACTAGAAGTGTTATTCAAAAAATACCTTGTTATTCAAAACATATCTACAAAAGCAAAGTGTTCAAGTCAACTTAAAAAGCTAAAATAGTTCTCCTTTGATCCATAGAGGAAAATATAATCTTAATCTTCTGAACTCTAATCCAGACTTTGAGTTATTTCTCTGTTCTGTGAAAAGATCACTGTGAAGTTCTCCCACAAGTAATATTCTATTCATTACTCGAAACAATTGCCTCCACCACTATTGGAATGATTAAAGAATATTTCAACTATTTTCAATAATTTGCTTCATAATAGAAAGAGTAGGAAAAAAATCACAAATGGAAATACTATTAAAATGATTTTGTATAGCTAGCTCAATTTAAAGCCCTACATCCAAACTAAAGGTCTCTTATTTTAATCAGCTATCATAAAGTTTTATTAATACACCAAATATGCTAAAATAGACCTTAACATAAATGTAAGATAAAACACCTATTAATAAAAATGTTCAAATATTGTCTAATCTGAAGAATATCATAATGAGCTATATTCAAAATTGTATTTAATAGTTACTAAATGTTATAAACACTCAAAATCATACTTCAGAACTCTGGATGAAGTATGTGCATATATGTGTGCACATGTGTACATAATTTTAGTGCCCAAGAATTCAAAATTATGATCATGGCTCTGATGATGTGTAGCCTCTAATAATAGTTCTTAAACTCATCTAGGCAAATATTTATGAACTTTTTAATCAGTATTTGGAAATAAGATTAAAAACTACCATTTTCAGCTATCTAAGATAGATGATGTATAAATTTCAAACTATAATGCACATTCTAAACTGTAGATATAATAAGGCTACTAATTTATATTTTTTATTGTTTAATAATTTGTTGCTAAATGTTTTTAATGAAGTACTTACTCTCCAGCTTTATTCAGTACAGGTGCAGGACACAGCATAGAATCAGATTGTACACTTACTGGTTTTACATCTAAAAAATAAAATATCACTGAATTAGCCAAGTTTATGTAGGTAACAGAGTCCTGTTAATAATATGTAATCAGTTCAAGTGTTGATTATTATATAGATTAATATTTTAGACTAATGAAGAGGTGAAAATGGAAAGAGATTATATGCTTCATTGACACATAGTTATTGGTAAATCATAAATTCAGAATTGCTAGAAAAGTTAGCATATAGTTGTAAGTACTATAAAAATATCACCCTTTGTTCTGAATATTTCAAATATCTCAAACCTTGAAGAATAAAATCCCTTTAAAGAATAATTTAAAATGAAAAAGGAAAATAAACATACAATTATTTCATAATTCTAACTAAATAGCCCTATCTACAAATACACAAATACATTTTACTAAGCTCAGTGCTTAAATTTTCCTGTTGATCTTTTTTTTTTTTTTTTTGGTCGGTCATGGGGCTTGAACTCTGGGCCTGGGCACTGTGCTAATTAGTGTGTTAAATGTTATCAGAGAAACAGCAAATTTATGGATGAGTCTCTCATAAAACAACTATACCAGCATTTAGAGAATTACACTTTGGGGGGATTGTTTGTTTTATGTGCTGGTCCTGGGTCTCAAGCTCAGGTTCTGGGTGCTATCCCTAAGCTTTTTCATTCCAGGCTAGTGCTCTACCACTTGACCCACTTCTGACTTCTTGGTGGTTAATTAGAGATGGAATTTCCTGCCCCATCTAGCTTCGAACCTGGATCCTCAGCCTTCATTAATAACTACCTTCATGAGTAACTATTCGAAAAACTTCTTGAATAGCTAGTATTATAGACATGAGCTATCAATGCCTGGAAATATATGGCTTGTTTTACAAGACAAATTTTTAGAATGGAAAATAATCATCTATAAGGAAAAGACCCCAAGCTTGGTCAGCTTGACTGTTTAGTTGGTAGTTGGAGCTCTATTTTAGCCACATTGTCAGCCCAAGTTTTGGCCAACTTCTCTGTCCAGGCTTCAAGCTGCAGATCTCAGATCTAAGCCTCCTGAATGGCTAAAATTTTAAGTATAAGCCACTGACACTCAGAAGGAAAAAAACATTTTAATAGTGTTCCAAACTCTAATAATAGTGATAATATGACAATATGATAATAATATTGATAGTATGACAATTATTAATAAACACTATTGTGAGTGAGTAATGGAAATACAAAAGATACAATATAAAATCCTCTGTTTTCAAGAAACTAACAAATTATTAGAAAATTAGATTTAAGAAAACAATGGCAAAACTTAAGATACTATAGAAGGAGTCTGAGTCCAAGATAACTACTTTAGGGGCTGGGAAGGTGGCTCAGTGGTAGAGCGCATGCCTTGCATGCCAGAGGCCCTGGGTTCAATTCCTCCACACCACATAAGCAAAAAGAAAAAAGCCGGAAGTGGCGCTGTGGCTCAAGTGGTAGAGTGCTAGCTTTGAGCTGAAGAGCTGAGGGACAGCGCCCAGGCCCAGAGTTAAGGCCCCATGACCAGACCCCCCCCCCAAAAAAACAAGATAACCACTTTAAAACAAGAGAAGCAACGTCACGCGCCAGTGGCTCAGGCCTGTAATCCTAGCTATTCAGGAGGCTCGTTGCTGAGAATTTCAGTTCAAACCCAGACTGGACAGCAAAATCCTTGAGACTCTTTAATTAACCAGGAAAAACCTGAGAAGTGTAACTTTGGCTCAATTGGTAGACCACTAGCCTTAAGCTAAGTGGCAGAGCACAGGCCCTGAGTTTTAAGCCCAGCTTAAAACGCATGCGTACGCGCACGCACGCACGCATGCACTCACGCACACACACACACACACACACACACACACACACACACACACACACTGAATAATGAGGCTACTTCAGAAAGGGTTAAGCACTTTTTAAATTATGAACATTGCCATAATTGCTAATTGTTGCTAATTGTTCTTTCTTAGCTGATTAAAAACTATAACATAGCTGATCTTTGTTGGAAAAAAGAGGCAAGCACTTGATGTTCACACACTGTACAGATGTTAGTGTGCCATCGGGATTACTGGCGACCTACTCTTTATATGTGTGGCATTTACGGTGTAGGTGCAGCGAACACTGTCATCCCGACTGCCCAACGTGACTGCTCTTCCGCTCAGGACAACTTGAAATTCCTCTAAAAGTGAAAAGGAAAACATACATTTTCATCATTGCTTAATGAAAAACAAATTCTTCAAGTTAAGATTTTACTTGAAACAAAAGTTATCAAGGCAAAAAGTGAAGCTTTTCTTTGTTGTTGTTTTTAATGTACTATGTGAATTCTTCTTTCTTTCCTCTGTGTGTGTGTGTGTGTGTGTGTGTGTGTGTGTGTGTGTGTTTTCCTTTTCCTATGACTTATCCCCTGTTGTCACTGTATTTGATTTGGTACCCTGGGTATTGTATATACATTTATCTGAATTAGGGAAGGGAATAGGAACAGCAAAATGCTAAGACAAAGGACAACAGGAAACCAATGCAACATCAATACTCCAAAGACACTATGTTGGACTGTACAACTTGGAGAGGGGCTGGGAGGAGGGAAAGTGGGAGGAAAATGAGGGAGGAGGTAACAAGTTTGACAAGATATGTACTCGCTACATTATGTATGTAACTGTAACCCCTCTGTACATCACCTTGGCAAAAAAAAAGGTAAATATCCACTAAAAAAAAGCGAATTTCTGCATTCTATTCAGTCAGTTAGTGACAATGAAGAAACAGTTCTCCATTTCCAACTGGGCTTGCTTTCTTCACCACTTTAGATAAATGCAATGAAGATCACGTTTAACTACAACCTGAAAACGCATTATTTTATTCTCTCAATGAATATTTTCTAATAGTGACCAAGGGATTATAATTAAAATCTTAACAAATTTTCACAGACATACAAAATCTCCCAATTTCTATCCTTAAAATGATCAAGAAAGAAGTCTCTCTGTTTTTACTTTTCCCACTCTTGGTTATTGAGTTTTGGATATACAAACAAAACATATGTACTATGTAGAACCATTACTGCATGCCTAAAAACATAAATGTTGCTGGGCTCTGGTGGCTCACACCTGTAATCTTAGCTACTCAGAAGGCTTGAGCTCAAGAGTTCAAGGACATCACCCAAGCCCTGAGTTCAAACCTGTGACTGACAAAAAAAAAAATAAAACAAAACAAAAAACACGAATGTTTTGTCTTAGTATGTCAATATATGTCTCCCCAACACAGAATTCTTCTCCACTAGCTTCTTTGCCTTACTAATCCTTGCTTTATTTTTTATTGCATACAGACTTACAAATTATCAGAGGTCATGTATTTTATATTACTAATAATCTATAGCCAGTAACAAAAAAATTTTAAGTACTTATTCCTTCCTATAGAGGCACTAATGTTAATGGAAGACATGCTACAAGAAAAGTTAAAATCGTGTTTACTACTTGATTATCACAGTGTATATCAACTATTTTAACAGTGATTAACTCTTACTACAAAGGCAAACTATGGCACATAAAATGTTAGTTAACTTGAGCAAATCACAGTTCATAAATTGGGCAGCTCCAAGACAGAAACAGTAAGACAAACATGGAAGTAACACAAAGAAATATCTGACTGGTAACAGTAGCATAGGACTTTATTTGGTTTACCCTGTCAGAAAGTCCCTGATTTCATGATTTCTAAATGTGGTTTCTTTTGACTGGTTGAGCTGAAGTCCTACTTTTTTTCTTTATTATACACATTTACACAAAACAGGTCAAGCTTTACATATGTGTGTAAATCCAGAATAGGTCTCTAGTGAGGCCTAACTGGTTTTGTCTGCTCAGGATTCTTCAGGCTTCATCTGCATTTCCCTTCATTCTAACACCTTCTATCTTCTCAAACTTTTCCCATCTACCATAATCCAACACACATACAGTCACTAACTATAACGGACAAGCTACAAAGCTTTCAGCATCCAATGTCATATGAAAGAAAGCTCACGTCTATAAATTCATATAAAGTACAACTAAACATTTGATGCTGAAACATTATAATGCTGACATTATACATTTGACAGATACAGATCTAACAGAACAATCACTATCAACAGCCACTAAACTTTGTCTGCCTCTGTTTCGCCAGCTTCAAATCAGGGATTTGAAAACTGCCAGATAGTGTTTTATGAAGCTTAGGTGTAATTACATATGGCGATGACCCAGTATAGAAAGAGCAAAAAGTAGAGTTTAATGAAAAAGTAGTTATTATAGTAATATTACTTCCATTTTTTGTTTTCTCTATGAATTTGTACATCTCTGTCTTTAGAAAAGATGACCACTTCTCTTACGCATCTCAATGGTACTTCATTAGGAAGTATAGAAGATCAAAGTTTAAGATTATCTCCACTGGGGAGGAAGGTTTGGTAGCAAAATAGACAATGTATTTTCCCCTTTTCTCCCTATTAAACTCAATATTTTTTCTGTTTCTAAGTTGTTTCAGGTTGAAATGAACTCTAGATCAAACCTGAAGAATAAAGAAAAATAAATCAGCAAGAATCAGACTCTCTACACAAGGATAGATGGGAGGTACAAAGCCCTAAGGTTTTTTTGGGGGGGGAGGGTGTGGGGTTTGTTGTTATTGTTGTTGTTGTTGTTTTTCTGAAGAAGCCATTTGCTTCCTCTTGCAGCCTGCCTATAAGTCATTTCCTTTTGTGCCGAGAGCTGGCAGATATCATATTTGGCCAGGTCATCAAGGCATGGAGCTCAAAATCCATGGATACCTAACTAGTCAGATAAAAGATTCCATATTTTATTTGCCATAAGAAAGGTCTCAAACATGAACTAAAGCTACAGAATATTCTAAAAGCCTGTCACACAATATGCTCACTATTTAAAGTAGCACTCCACTCTTAAAAATTTGAATTTAAAATAGAAATATTTCAAGGAATTACTTTAAAAAATTCTTACACAAAAAAGATGCCAGAAAAGTTAATTTCTGCTATTCTCTTTGCAACATGAGTCTCAAATAATATATATTTTAGCTAAGAAAAAACATAGCTCTTACATGATATTTTAAATTTTTAAACACTTACCCCCAACACAGACACTTGAGGGTCTTAATTCCAGGATTTCAGTACATGACTTATCTAGTATCTAGAAAGGAAAAATAGGAGACCAAACAATAACAAATTATAACAAGTGAAGTGAAGTAAGGATTACCAGTAGTCATTCTTGAAGTCCTTGAGGTCTTCTCCTCACTTCAAGACAAGGCAGAGAGCCAGGCACAGGTAGCTCATCCCTGTAATCCTAGCTACTCAGGAGACAGATCTGAAGATCATGGTTCAAAGCCAGCCTGAGCAGGAAAGTCTGTGTGATTCTAATTTCCAATGAACTTCAAAAAGTGTTGGAAGTTCAGCTGTGGCTCAAGTGGTAGAGCAGTAACTTTGAGTAAAGAAAAAAAGTTCAAGGACAGCAACCAGGCAGATTTCATCAAAGGAAGGAGAGATGGAGAGAGGAAGAGAGGGAAACAAAAAGAGGGTGAGGGAACGAGGGAGAGGGAATGAGAGAGGAAGAGGGAGGAGAAAATCAACTTCTACATGTAAAGCTACCAAACTTTAAGGAAATTTCTACATGGTATGTTTTAAGACTGTATACTGAAGGATTCTTACTGGATTAGAGTAAATCTAGGGAAAGGGCTGGATGCTTCCTGGAAGTCTGACAGTCTAGTATGAATAGATGGCTAAAATTTCCCATCAGCATACACTCAACGCTGGCTTTTTCCATTAGGCAAAAGCAAGATAGCAAATGAGATCTTCTATTTAATAATGTTGGTGTGGATTCTATTTAGAAGTTCAATATGTTATCAATAAATAATCAGTTCTTTATTTGAGAGTGACATTCCTAGTTCATGCTCAGACTTAATCCCTACGGGAGCTCATCTGTTTTGTACATATCAAACATTACATTGGTGGAGCACAGAGTCCTTGTGGGAGCCAATTTTATCCTGAGAAACACAGGCTCTGTATTCAGGCATTCCCAAGGCACTGAAACAGAATGGCTCTACTTCTGCTTCTCAGAAATATAAACCACTGTACAAAACAAAAGTCTACAAGTGAAAAACAATGATGAAACAAGCTGTTCCAAATGGCCACAACCCTGTCTTTATTTTTAGAACATCTCTGCACTACATTATCAACATCAGACAAGTTCCAGATGATCTTCAAGCAGTGTTTCTTTTCTGATGGAAGCTGAAAACTGAGCTGTGCAGTAGTTTATAATAAGTTCTGCTACCAACTAGAACAGGAAGGAAGGATTGCAACCGGAAAAAGAAATGCCTCCTATGTTTCTATCATCATCAGTGAGATACAGATGCTCGATGCCTTAAACCAACTGTTGATCCAGAGAATTCTCACTGCTAGTGTGCATGCATCTCTCAAAAGAGGCACTGGGCCTTGTAGTACTGTTAAAAATTATTTCCCAATGAATGCAATGTATTCAAGAATTGAGGACCATTTCAGGTTATTGTAACGTCTTGGAGAAATGGTATTCAAATCACTAAGATCTTTAAATACTTTGACATAATTCAGATAGCAAGATTCTGAAGGAAATAGGATAGAAAAATTTTGCAAGCGAATGCAGAGCTAAAATTTCTCCAATTAACAAAAATGGGCATTAATAGATATTGCTTTGGATCACTTGAAATTTTTTTAAAAAGAGGAGAGGTGAAAGGGGAGAAAAACTCAAAGAAAAATACAAAATTTCTAGATATGTCTGCTACCAGTTCTGAAAGCACTTATTTAAAAATAGATCACATTACAAGGACAATTGCATCTTTCAGTTTGTAATATCTTTATTAGTTATTGAACCATTCCTCTTTCAATATTATTGAAACATGTTTTAAGTAGGAAGGAAAGTTATGAGAGAAGTTAAAGGCTTCATCTATTTGAAATTGAAATCAGTGCTGGACGCCAATGGTTCCTGCCTGTAAACCTAGGTACATAGATGCCTAGGATCTGGAAGACTACAGTTCAAGGGAAGCCCAGGAAGAAAAGTCAAAAAGATGGGCTGGAGTTTGGCTCAAGTGGTTGAGTACCAGCCTTGACCAAACAAGCAGAATAAGCATGAGACCCTGAATTCAAACTGTGGTACCAGCAAAAGATGTAAAGAAAAAGAAATAAAAAATTATTTTCCTGAATCTCCTAAAGAAAATGTATAAATTACAAAAGAGCTAGGTGCTTGTGCTCATGTCAGTTAATCTAGTTATTCAGAGGACTAAAGATCTTGGGGACTGCAGTTCAAAGACAACTCTAGCCAAAAAGTCCGAAAAGCTCCAAAATAACCAATAAAATGCAGAGCTAGAGACATGGCTCAAGTGATAGAGCACCATCTTAACAAGCAAGTCAAAGAAGCGAGAGGCCATATGTTCGAGATCCAAAATGGCCCCCAAAAAATTACAGAGGGATTTTTCTAGGGTCTATATCAAAGAATACGCATTCCATAACAACCACTATGAATTTATTAAATTTATTGCTCTGTCTTACTAATATAGACCATTGCTCACATAATACTTACTAGTAAATGCTGGAGAATAAAGCTGTCTGCATATCTGAAACTAGACTGCTTATCTCTTGCAAAGTATTTTCATTTTGAAGTAAGGCATCAGGGTGATTTAAGTAGTCACATTACATTAAACAAAGTTGGGCACTGTCCCTCAGCTCTTCCGCTCAAAGCAAGCACTCTACCACTTGAGCCACTGCACCACTTCCAGTTTTCTGGTGATTAAATGGAGATACTCACAGACTTTCCTGCCCAGATAATGCATTCCTTGAAAGGCAGCAGTTCAAGTATGGAGTTATAAAATTATCAAGGCCATCTGATACAATCCAATTGACTTTCTGCAACATAATCTGATCTTCTCTAAAGTTTCTTTAATTCTTAAGATTTCTTTGATGCCAGGTGCTGGTGGTTCAAAGCCAGCATGGGAAGTTAAGTCTATGAAACTCTTATCTCCAATTAACCACTAGAAAACTGGAAGTGGCGCTGTGGCTCCAGTGGTAGAGTGCTTGAGTTGATGAGCTCAGGGACAGCACCCAGGCCCAGAGTTCAAGCTCCATGGCCAAAAAAAAAAAAAAAGATCTCCTTTGATTTTATGTTATACTGAGTGTGTAACTTGTCTCATGCATAAAAAGATAAACCAGGATAAGTCAGGCTAAGACAGGATGAAGTTAATTTTTGTAACAAAGCATCTAGCCCTTTAATTATTTTGAATGTTGAAATATTCAAATTACGACTGCCATAACTTAAAACAAAATGTTTATACAGTTAATAGAAAATAAATTGTGATCTAAATTTGTTTTTAACCTAGAGTTTATCATATTCTATATTCAGAAAACAACTCGAAGTCAAAATAATTTGACGTTTGAACATAGTTAACATCATTTTTAAATCAGTTCCAAAATAGCTCATAAAGTATTCTTACCAAGTAATTGTAAAAGTTGAAATGTTCAAGATATTAAGATGGATCTATTACATTAAAAATGTTGCCATGCCTGTAATCCTAGCTACTCAGGAGGCTAAGAGCTAAGGATCACAGTTCAAAGCCAGTCTGGACAGAAAAGTCCCTGTGAGATTTATCTCCTATTAATCACTCAAAAACTGCATGTGGTGCTGTAAATCAAAGTGGTACATTGCTAGCCTTTATCAAAAGAGATCAGACAGTGCCCAAGCCCTGAGTTCAAGTCCCACTACCAACCAAAAAAAAAAACCAAAAATCAGAAATGTCATCATTATTCAACAACTGATGAAGAAATGTATTTTTGAACACTCCAATTTTTACCAAACTAAATAATGTTAGCAAATGACAAACCATGTATAGCTGAGATATTGTTCCCACTCTCTACTTCCATCATTTGTTCAGTGTAGGAATTCATAAAGATGTTTGTTCAAATATATATTGCATCTGCCTTTAATATTTCTCATTAGAAACAGAAAGCATTTTCTACAGAAGATTGGCTTTAGTTGCCTAGAGAGACCGAATAGCATCATGGACCAAATCTACAAACCACATGCCATTAACAGAGCAGATCTCTTAAGTAATGTACGCTCTAAATTCAAGTTTTATTATTTAAGATTTGGGGATATGTGCATATCTGTGTGTGCACAAAAACACTTACTTTTTACTGTGAAAAAAAAGTATACTACTCCAACGTCTTATCACTAGAAATAGTTTAAGGAAAAATAAATACATAAATTTTACCTATTTCTGGCTAAAACTTTGAGTTAAAACTTTCTACATTTTCTAAAAATATGGTCAAGAAAATTTTCTTAAATCTAGCATGATGATATTTATCATTTGTTGCCTCTTTAAATTTCAGTAATGGATACATATTATTGTCTGTTTCATAGGTGAGGAAAGTTAGAGCTCAGGTGGCTTTTAAACTTGCTCTAGAACTGTTTGCTCTTAACTACTAAGGCAGATAACTCTAGACTTGATTGAGAACAAAGCTCATTCTCCTAATCAGCTGCTCCATGACCTACAGATCTGTGATAGATGACCTAAGCATCATAAAATGTAACACTGAGTAAACTGTTAAAAAAAATTATCTGATTGCTTTATACTACCTAATACATTCTAAAATCTGGCTTATATTACCTTCAAAAGTCGATATCTAAGCAGAAGTTTTTAGTTCTATCTCCAGATAGATATGTAGGTAGGATAGATAAGAGACAAACAGACAGACAGACAGGCAGACAGACCGACAGACAGATGTGGTTTGGATAGGTGCTCTCCAATGGCACATGTATGAAAGTCTTGTTCCTTATTCTGTGAAGCTATGGGGAAGTGGTGGAACCTTTAATGAGGTAGAAACTATGAGGAATCACCATCCATGGGTCATGGAGTGAAATTTCTAAAACAGAGTCATAATAAACCTTTTCTCTTTCTAAGCTGATTCACCTCCAATAATTATTACATACACATCAGCATGTATGTATTTTTCCTCTCCCCTGGAGTATGGAGCCAGCCTTGGATAATTCTTTGATATAGAATTAGTTATTCCTTGGTCCTTCCCCCTCATAGTCTCATTACATTGCTGGATACACATAATCACTCAGTTCTTTTCTGCAGATAGTAACTATGTAGGTTTTTCTCTCCC